GTATGCTCATGCTTCCACAAATGGGCTTCTCTCTCAGGCTAACATCTATTATGTTGTATACATTAACAATAACATCATCTGAATCTTTCTTAGCAGTCTATTAATTAACAGCAACCGAGACTTTGGAAAACTACAACTGCATAGTTTATAGTACACTAACACAGAAAGTACAGAAAGTTAAATAATGCTGTTAAAATGTTAAGTAAGCATATAGTTTCTGTTATCAAATGCATTAAAATAATTTTCATTCCACATCAGAAATATCTTGATCTTTGTCCCATCAGTTATAGTCTAAAATGTTATAAATAAGCTCTGCTGTACTTAATTTTAATGAATACACCGAACACCTTTTAGTAATTTCCAAGACAGGAGACCCTTATAACATGGATTGCATTGAATTAACTCATACTTTACTACATATGCCTCCCATAAAGGCGGCACAGCAATTCATGGTATCCCAGCAATTTCTCCCTCTAATTTTTCTAAAATTACCTGATAAATTGTCTTAAGATAATCTCTAACTGAAAAATGGAGTTTTATTTATGTCTAAGAAATCTGGTGAATCTGTTACCAATCTGCCATGAGTGAAAACTCATTTTAACTGCAAAGGCAGAATTCCTTATTTTAAGAAATCCTTATTTTCAAAAATTATTCATGCTCAGCAGGTCTCTGTACAAAATGATGAGATCTTTAGAAGTACATATGCTCTGAATAATTTTTTTGGTAAAAATTCAAGCATCATGCTGTTTAAATATTCAGAACAGAGGATAAACTGGGAAGAGAGTTTTAAAAGCATTATGGTTCTGATTATAGTGAGCTTGCCATATTTACATAGAACAAGTGATAAAAATGGGAAAGGAGGACACCATCTGTCAGAAAAACAACATTGTAAGTGAAACTGCAACTACCTCAAATGAATCCATTTGGGATGAACATACCACAATAACAAGGTACACAGACAGCATACAGAGAATTATAAAAGAATTTCAGAAAACCTAAGGCTGTTAAAATGAGATAACAGAGGAGATCCTAATGACAAAAGTGAACTGAAGGAAAAGTAAATTTTCCATGAAAACTATCATTAAAACTTGGCCAGGGTTGTGAATTGCTGCCTCACAATCTGATGTGGTCGATTTATGCAACCACCCAAGCTATTGTATAGCTTTTTTACTTGAGGAAGTGATGTCATCCTAATTCATAAGCTGATGCTTATTTTACATGCATTGTATTCAGACGTGACAGTGACAAATGCAATGCAAGTTGAAAGAGTAAATTAACTTCACGCTGAGGTGCAAATGGTGGTCTGTTGGAAACAGTGCATTTGCCCTAAGGATCCTCTGTCATGCCATGCCCGTGCCCATGAAGGAAGAACTCTGTGCCCATGTCAAGTCCTACTGACTTGTAAAGGATTATGCCTCTTTGGAGAGATTTCCTAGCGTATTATTGATCCATTGCTATGCATGAGGCATGAATACATATAGTTTACAAGATACATATGTAACCAAAGTGAATCATAAAAGCTGTTAATAAAAATACATGTTCATTTGGCTTCCTTTTCCCAGAATTAAAAAAGAAGAAACAAAAGTACAGAATAGTTGCATTAGCTGTTCAGCAGTATTTCAAAGCCTTCCTTCTACAAAATAATCAGCCTAATCACAACCTTGGTTATATTTACACAGTATATATTTAAACTGCCACTGTAAAAAGCCTTCACCTGCCTAGAAAACTTAAGAATGTTGCTTTGGTAACTTGCTGGTTACCAAAACTTATCTATCATTAAGGCTTTGTTTGTCAGACAGCTGCAATATTCCCAGATTTCAGCTTCAGTTGAATACTTTGAGAAAACTGAGACGTATATACATCTACCTGCTAATTTAATTTGCTTAGTCTATTAACACTGATACCATACTTAGATTATATAATTGACTAAAATAAGACTGACTAATGTGTTATCAGTAATACTTAAGTTTTTAACCTAATCTCAATCCCTGCAAGCTTGATTATTTGCAGTTTCACAGTGTTTTTTAAAGAGGTAATTTAAAGCATATCAAACAATTCTCTGATGTATTCCTATAATTTAATTACATTCTTTTATTTGGATACTAGTGTTTTCCTCTTTTTCATGGTGTCACGGTTTCAGCTGGGATAGAGTTAATCTTCCTTCTGGTAGCTGGTATAGTGTTATGTCTTGGATTCAGTATGAGAACAATGCTGATAACACACTGATGTTTTCAGTTGTTGCTAAGTAGTGTTTAGACCAAGTCAAGGATTTTTCAGCTTCTCATGCCCAGCCAGCAAGAAGGCTGAAGGGGCACAAGAGTTGGGAGGGGACACAGCCAGGACACCTGACCCAAACTGGCCAAAGGGGTATTCCATACCATGTGATGTCATGCCCAGTATATAAACTGGGGGGAGTTGGCCTGGGGGAATGGCTGCTGGGGAACTAACTGGGCATCGGTTGGCAAGTAGTGAGCAACTGCATTGTGCATCACTTGTTTTGTATATTCCAATCCTTTTAATTATTATTTTTATATTACTACTAATATTATTATATTTTATTATTATTGTTATTATTATCATTATTAGTTTCTTCCTTTCTGTTCTATTAAACTGTTCTTATCTCAACCCATGAGTTTTACTTGTTTTTTTCCAATTCTCTCCCCCATGCCCCCTGGGTGGGGGGGAAGTGAGTAAGCAGTTGTGTGGTGCTTAGTTACCAGCTGGGGTTAAACCATGACACATGGGCACAAGATATTTCACTGGAAAAGAAAGTATGCAGAGTAAATTCACATTAGAAAATGTTTATGAAGGTTAACACACACTCTTTCTGTAGAAATATGCCAGTTATATTTACTAGCTTCAAATTCTACAAAATAGAAAAAGGTAAACAAGAATTATTCCTTGGTGTAGAACAACTTATGACTTGGTGTTTTCACTTGATTCCTAAATGTACATTCTTACTGATAGATTGCCTCGATTCACAAAGGCCAAAATGTCACAGCTGAGGCTGAGCACACATACTGGAGAGCAGTGAAAGAGAAAGACTTTTTAAAGAAAGTTTGGAATATTATGGATTTAAGCCAAGCATAGAATCCTAAATGAAGGTGCACTTTCATTAAGAAGTAGCAAAAGTAGCCTAGTCACTGCAACAAGAGATAAGAATATTACAATCATAGAACACAAAAGATATTGACTGCTACCTAAAACTTATCTCTATTTACCTCAGTACTGTCCTTATTTGCTGGTGGAATTCAAGCTAGGAATTCAGCAATATGGAACATAGGTCTTTATCTTTTGAAATTCATAAATGCAATTATGAACTGTTTGAAAGAAACATCTAGATATTCTACGTTTTATCATGACTTTTTTTCCTTGCTTTCTTATTGATATTATGAAAACTAACAGTCCCACGCACATTACATACTGTACGCAAACAGATTTGGAGGAAAAAAATGATACGTGGGAACTTGAGAATGGACTACCAGGATATTTAGGACCAGAGTCTACGATGAACTTAAAAGCCTGTTTCACAGTGTGAACTTGGAAGCCAAGAACTGTGTGCATTTTCTATCTATGCAATGCATGGTAACTTGTAATGGGTACTGCGCTTGTGACTGTTTCAGAATACTAAATCGTCATGAGACGAGGCTCAAAAACAATCCTTGGCATTGGTATCAGAAAACTACTGTATTCTCCTCTCTATCCAACTGGATGACAGTCACGGATCTATGATCACTTTCCCTGGTTTGCTATCTGATTTGGTAAGTTAGAGACCTGAGGATCAAAGAACGGAGTTTCACATTACGTTAAGAAGAGCTCTTTCATGACAAACATTGCATGAAGGTACATCAAGACTTCCAAAGACAATGGTAATACAAAACTCCTGAAAAAATTTTCATGAACGAATGGAAGAATGAGAATGTAAGTTTGACAGCACTGATGTTCCTGAAAACTGTTTTGCCTCCTGGAAATAAACCAAAAAATGACCAGTGAAATTAAAGCAGGCAGTACGCACTCAGATGCTGTGTTAAACATGCCTTGAGAGGTACTCCAACATAGGCTGCATTTCATAGTTGACCTACCTTCCCAGTCACGGTAATCATCCATTTCTGTATGAAAATACAATAGAAGTATGCAAGACGATTCCTGGAGATAATAATATGACCACCCAACCACTCTCATCTGAAGAAAGTCCAACATGACTCTTCACTGTACTACAGCCGTTAAGAGCTAAACTCTTGTGCGGGAACGGCCACGCATAAAATTGACCAGCAGGCGAATGTTTCTAGCCCTGCAACGCTTCCCCACCGCACGCCTGCCCGGCCAAGGCAAAGGCACCCACCACCTTTGCCCTCCCGGGGCTGGGCCGCATCTTCCAGCGACCAGGACGCCCCCCCCCACTCCCCCCTTCCCAGGGAAAAGGGCTTTTTCTGTTGACGCGTTGGCGATGGAGCCACGGGGGCTGCGGCCCCGCAGGGAGTGGAGGAAAAAGCCCTCAAGCGCCCCGTCTCACAGAGGGACAGAGGGAGGGAGGGAATGCGCCCAGCAGAGACCCCCACCCCCCCTCCCAGCGCCGGCCACGGGGGCAGCAACAATCGCCCAGCAAGCCCCTCTTCCACCCGCCGGGGTCTCTCACCGAGGCCGCATCCCCGGCCCGGCCGTGACCGACCTACCCGGCCCGGCTCGGCTCTCCCTACCGCTCCTCAGTCACTGCCATTGCATCACCTTCCAACCGGCACGTCACTCACGACTCCCGGCTGGGAAACGCATACCCCCGGAACCATCGCTTCCCACTGTCCTCCCGCCCCCTACAGTCACCACCCCAACCAACCTCCCTCTGCATCGCCCGCAGCGGCGGGAGAAGGGCTCGTACGCGCCCAGCGAGCCGCAGCCTGACCCCTGCCCTTCCCAACACGCCGCCCCTGCGGAAGGGCGGTGATACGCGGAACGGCTTGAGCGGGGCGCCTTGTTTCCACCCGGCGCGCTTTTAAAGCCGGAGCCGCCGCGGGTCGGCGGGTGAGTTCCGGGCCGCGCTGCAGTCGGCGGCTGTGGGGCGCAGGTACCGGCGGCGCGGGGCGGGCTCCGGGGCCGGGGGAGAGGAGAAGGAGACGGCCTGGGCGCTCCGGCGGCGGGTTGGGGGTCGGTCTTCCACCCCTCCCCGGGGCTGCCGGGCGTTAGGAGCGAGGAAGCGGCCCCGGGGAGGCGGCTGCGCCTCTCGTCCGACGGCGGCCGGGCCCGTGCCCCGAGCGGCCGGCAGTGCCGGTCTCGGCTTCCACGTCGTACCTCTGTGGGCGTTTGCGGTCCCTTAGCGGGCCTGGGGCCTTGTGCGCGCCGACCCGAACGCTCTTCGGTTTAGTGCGTTCGGATAAATCGGTCGTGTGAAAATGAAAAAAAAAAACAACCACCCAAACTCTATGAGCTTCCTTCTTGGCTCAGTACGTTGTAAGTCATACTGTTAATAAATTCACAATCTAGTTGCAGTATGCTTCCAATGAGGGACGTTGTGGGTCCCCCCCCCCCCCCGTTTTTTTTTTGTTGGGGGGGAAAAAAAAACTCGGGGGGGGTGTTTTTTTAAAAACAGCAGTGGAATGGGAAGTCTTAAGGCGAGAGAGATGCTTTCCTTTTACAAAAATACTAACGCTTACAGGTGGTGTGTGTGATGGGTTGGATTTATGGTGACCAAATGTAATGGGACAGTTTCTTTCCAACATCGCGCAGGAAGCTTTTTTAACCTGGTGTGTGCAAGGTACCATCTTGCACTTACCTCTGAATCTCAGCCTAAATTTTTTTGTGTTAAAACAAAATAAAGTAACTTTGAAGGTCTATCCCAATCCACTTGTGTATCTTCTTTTATAGCTTTCAGCCAGAGGTCAGCTTCGTACTGTATTTGTTCTTTGAACATGATGCATTTTGGCTGGGGCCTGTTTTCAACCCTGCAATACAAACACTAACCACTTGTTGCAATTATTGAAGTGCAGTCCTTCAAAGTTGCTATTTATTTGATAAGAGGTTTCAATTTACGGCTAAAACCTTCAATTTACTGGTTTTGAATTGAATTGTTAGTTAAGTTTTCCTGAAACACTACTTAATTTTTTTTCCTTGACACTGTTTACGCTGTTTTAATAAATGAGGCTGTATTATTAAAAAGAACTTTTTCTTGCTCTCAGTTGCTGTCACTTACAGCTGTCATAAACTTCAGATAAAGACAAAATGTCCTCTAGAGGGAGATCTTGATGCTTTTATGTGCTAAAATGTTGGTCACCTTGTTCCAGTTAGGCGTCTTGATCACTTATCTTGGAAAGGATTTGTGATGATGAATGTGTATGTCTTAATAGGAACCTGTCTTCTGGATCTGTGTTTGTAAATTTCGTTACAGACTACAAACTGTAGCCTGTAATGTAACACTTCTGTAGGTTAAAGTAAACATGCTTGTTTTAATTCAAGTAGATCTACTTCTGAAGTTAAATGAGTAATCTTTACAAGTTCCAGAGTACTGCCCCTGCAGTACTATTTGTAGGACCTACATTTCTGGCATCAATTCTGCAAAGGCTTGGGTAGATACTGACTTTTGTACAGCTTTCTCATTTTAATCAAGATGCTTTTGAGGGTGGTTTATTCACTGACCTAAACCAAGAATTTCAGCAGCTGATCTGAAAGTGTTGTGGGTTAAATCACTTTAGCGTAATGAGTGCTAACAGCTGGACAAGGAAACAAAAAAAAAGTCCCATTTAATCAATCTTAGCAATTGAAGGGTAGCAGTACTTTTCTACTATAAACAGCAGAGGTTGAAAGATTATTTTTGCAGACACATCAAGTGTTTGAATGTAAACCCTATACTCCACATGCTCCATCCAAATTGTTGGAAGAAGCTTGGTGGGATTGTTATGGTGATGAGTTATTCAGCATGTTACATATGCAGTCTCAGTGTGAGATTTCTTTCTCAGAGACACTTCAAAAAAGTTTATTCCACAGCAAACAAGGCATCTGTGCTTTTATTTTTCTGTAAGTAAGTGTAAATAATGAATTCAGCATAGCTTCTGGCCTAAGTCTGTTCTGTAAAACTAAAGGCTGTGTGGAACTTGCTCTGTGGATATAGTTGGAAGATTTCCTTGTACTGCAAGACTGCTGAATGGGTCAAAAATGCATTTACTTTTTTAGTTGCCAGTTGAACCCCTTCATGCTTCTTTCAAGTCATCTGTACTGTTAAGAAATAGATACTGTTAGACTGACTCCAAAACAGTTGGTTTTGTATTCTTATAAATGTACATACCAAAACACTACATAATTAATTACCCTCGGCGGGGGGGGGAAGTGCTACTGCAAGTGAGGTTAAAGTAATTTGCAGTACTTATGTTGCAAGTTTGTTTTCCTTTTCATACTCATTTTCATTGTTTTCTGGTATGCAAATGCATCTCTGCAGTACATTAAAAATGTATGCGAAGTGCTTGGAGGCAAATGGTGTTGCGTAATTGAATGTACAGATGTCTTATAATAGAAGAATAAATTCCATTAATAAACAGGAATAAAAGTTACGGGTTTTTTTGTTAAGAATAGCATATTTATATCCTTAAGTTACTCAAATTGTAGACTCTGTAATAAATTGTGCTCTGAATAATCAATTCTTTATTCTAGATCATAATTTTGGAGGATTCCAGCACTGAGATTTCTGGAGTCTGCTGTGTCTAGCCTTAATGAGTTCCTCACTGGTTGCTTATGATGATTCAGACTCTGAGACAGAAACTGAAAAGGCTGAAGTCCCCAATACTTCTAGCAGACAAACAAACCGTCCAAGTTCATCTGTGAATCGTGTTCAGTACTCTGCACCTGGTAGTTTGGGTACAAAATCTACATATGAAATGCAGCCCACTGAGAACACTGACAGTTCTGGCACAAGCACTGTTTGTGAAGATCCCCCTGAGCACTATGCACAGAATAATAACACTGATTCGATATCTTCTCATTGTAGGAGAGCATACTCTGGCCATACTGCATTATGTATGTCCTACAAAAACTATGAACAGACATCAAGCTCTTCAACAAACTCTGGAAATGGCATTTCCCAGAAGAGAATACATAAAGACAGTGCTACTGCCATAAAAGGAATTAGACCATATATCCCTAAAAGATTGCGTCAAGAAAATTCCAGTATGCCTGAAAAAAAAGAATCTGATGAGAGAGATAGCTCAGATTGTGATGTTAAGCTGGGCATATCAGGAGAGCAGACTTCGAGAAAGATCTCTGAATTAATTAAGCCATATTTGGGATCCAAATATAAATTAACTGAAGTCCCCAAAAGCTTAATATTTTACATGTCTAAACACAGTGGCCCTGTTAATGAAATCCAGTGGTGTCCTGTACGAGAACAAAGTCACATGCTTCTCTCGGCTTCTATGGATAAAACAGTAAAGGTAATGTAAAACAAGATGCTTTGCAGACCAGTCGTCAAACTTAAAAATACTGTATTAAATAATGATCTTCTGGGAATAACATCCTTGCTTGTGTGTGTTTAACGGTTCCAGTGTATTCAGAATTCGAGGAGATGCTTTGCAGTACAAGACCCTATTATGAACTTGCAGCCTAAGCCTTCACTAGACTTATAGTCAGTTCTGTTATTTTGGAATTTTTTTTTTTTTTTATTAGACATTGCAGTGTTTTAGATCTTAAGAAGTTAGATTTCTAGTAGGTAATTTCTCGTAATCTGTATTAATGTTAGGTTTTCCTTATGGCCATTGTGATATTAAAAAGTAGGAAATAAGCACTATGGTCTGGGTACAGATTCTGCCTTAAGTCATTAAGCAACTGACTGCCAATACTGGAATAATATTTTGATGAACTTTACCTTTCTGACAGGCCTAAGTGACTACTGGTGGAGGAGGTATGTCAGGTCAGATGCATTTTTCATCTGAACTAATGTGGCAGGTCTTGTATCCCTGAAAGGTGTCCTGTCGTGATCTAAGGAGTCTTCCCACTTTAATTTGGTTTCAAGGGTTATTTGCTCAATATTTAAAGTGTATTTTCCTTCTAGCTTTAGTGAATTTGGCTTCAGTTCTTTGTTTATTTTAGTCAGTCCGATGAGTCATGCTTTTATTTTAACAATGGTTAATAAAAATATTTTATGTGTATGCTTTTCCAGATGTAGGGCTAATGCTCCCTGTGGGTTCAAATAATAGTCTTCCAAAGTGGATTTACACAGGAACATAGTTTTGATAAGAGAGCATAGAAAGTGTCCTTTTTGGTGGAAAGCATTCTTTATTGTATCTAACATGTATTTAACATAGTAGGTACAATTATTTTAAAACTTGTTCTAAAATTTAGGGCTTCTAAGTAAATCCTAGTAAGTAAAGAGGCAAGATACACCCTCTGTATCAACATACTTCTAAAACGAAAGGAGAGGAGGGAACTTTAAAAATGAATTTGTGTTTTGATTTCATGTAGGAAAAAATATTCTTAAATGCTCTTATTAAAATTAGGTGGTTTTTTTTTTTTAACTCTTGCTGTTTTAATTTGTAGTGGAGAACTGAGTTTCATTTAGTTTGGCTTTTGTATGGCTTTTCTTATCTTAGAATTTCTTTTTTTCTTTTCTTTCCTCTTTCCCCATTTTTGCCATGGGGTCCTGTGAAATATGTGCTGACTTTGTGTTTGAAGCAGTGATGTTCTTGAATCTTGGACAGAGCTTCTCCTTTTTTCTCTTTTATGTCTATTAAAGCACTGGTGCTCACGGAAGAGAAAACCTCAGATCTATAGCATAAATAAAATTTACTCCTCTCAATTGCTTATCTTTTATTCTCTTAAGTTATAATAACTTCACTGGTTCTGTAGTCAACATAACCTATCACACCATCAAAATCCGAATACTTTGAACTGTGAGCGATTCCTCCTTTATTTTCTTTCCCATGCTTTTTTTACATCTTTGTCTTAAAGATTAAATGGAGGAAAAAAGTACCTTGGTTTTTCTTTGCAAGTGTCCTTTAATATATTTAATAAGTTAAATCTTGGCTGCTACTTGAAGAACAGACTTAGAAGGAAAAGACTAAGATAAGCAAAAAGTGCTGGTGGATGTTTTTGGTAAGCAGCAATTTAAATTTGGATTGTACAAAACTATATGCACCTCTGACTTCAGTGTGTCTGAATTTGACTTTTTGTCTTAAACTGTCACACCATATGCTTAATGTTTGTTTACTATCCCAGAGCCTCATTTTACTGATAAGTGAAATTATGTATGTGTTAAATTTGGTAAAACAATCTAAAATCAAAGTTGTCATTGCAATGTAAAATTATTAAAAAGTGGAAATAATAGCCTGTCTGTTTTGTCTTCTAAGCAGAAAGGAAGATTACTTTCTTTTTCTAAGGTAGTGTTACCACCCCTGATTGGAAGCAGTCTTTAACAGTAATGCTGGTTTTTGAAGACATCTAATTGCTTTAGGTGCCCCAAACCATGGAAATTCATATAAATAGAGTATGTTAAAGTTGGCAACACTTCAGAGCGTGCAAGTCTATAACACTAATAAAGTAATAATGTGACTGTTACAAGGTGTATTAAAACACACTTCCGTATTTTGGAAGGTAGCCTGTAGAGAAATACCTATGAATGCTTCTTGCTGTTATTTCTTAATGAAATCGAAGACTAATGGTATGAACAGCAGCATCTTTAAAGTTTGCACCTTTACAGAAGTACCTTTCAGGCCAGTAGAGGGCACAGTTAGATTAAGTATTGATGTGATGTTATAAACTAATTTCACTAACTTTCTAGGGTCATGAGCCCATAAATCTCTAATGACTATCACAGCAGTAGTTTATCTTCTGGGGATTTTTTGGCTGTCTACCATTGCCTGAAGTTCTCCATTTTCTGGTAGAAGTATAAAACAACTGATTGAAAATGCAGATGCAGTTGTAGATGTACTATTTTTTTTCCGATCCTGTACCTTCACACAGCTTACCTTTTTTGTTGTTTTCTTCCAAAAACAGCTGCTTGGAATTGCTAGTTTAAATACGGGCAGTGGGAGTGTGTCCTCTCTCCCTTTAATGGGAATATGCAGACACTCAGGATATTTGCAGTATTTACTTTCAACATCCGATTCAGATAAAACTCAAAGCACAGTTAGAAGCCTAAAATCCCTGTATGATCAGAGAGAGTAGGCAATCCAGAGCTTCAAAACTCTGTAATTTCAGTTAGTCATTTGAATAACTGTGACTGAATATTTTTATGTGTAAATACCTTGGATTCAGTCCTTGCATTCAGCCTATGCATTAAGACATTTATCTTTTGAAGAGTTCAATATTAGGGGAGATTTCTCAGAGTAAGAGTTCTGTATACGCAGATTTAACTGATTGTGGTAGTTTGTTGTGCTTAAATCAAAAGATCTATAGTTGTATGCAATTTTTGTACCATTTAGCCAAATAGTTTTGCATCTTTTATCTGTTCTTATGTGCTTAAATATTTTTCTCTTAAATTTTTCATCAGAAACTAAGAATTTTCCTTTCTGGGAAACTTTTTGCATGGAGAAGGAAGAAATACTTGGTTTAGTTATCTTAATTTAGTGATCTTAATTTCTTTATTGCCATCTAAATTACTATGACCAAATCATCCATATCACACAGGGATATATCTAAAATGTATATATAGAACTGGTTATGTAGTTTCTTACTTTTTAAGTGTATGTATGTATCCTGTTTAAATCAGGGGAAAAGAACAGTCTTCCATTTATGTTCTCCCAGATTAACCAACGTGCACTTTACCATCTTCTTTATGAATCAGTGTAAGTCATACTAAAGTGTTTGCAATAAATGAGTTGATGTTTTCAGTTTGTGTTGACTGAAGAATAGCCTAGTGTCAGGAAAGATCATCTGAAGCAGTTTGTATAAATATCTTGCGTATTAAGGAAGGAATGCACTGTTTTAGAGGATATTATATTTTTCATTAAAAGTATTTGCTATTAATTTTTTGTGTATAGCTGCATTTAAAAAAAAAAAAACAAAAACAAACCCCAAACAGTTGTCAGGTGGTACAGTTGAAAAAAATCAGTTATCGGCTCAGGGGTGTAATTCTCTAGAGTAACACTTCTACCAGCAGAGGGGGCTCCTCAGCTTCTTTGAAAGGAATGGTAACTAAACTGTGGCTGCGAAGACTGGAAGACTGTAATGTTTGCCTCCATGTTGTACGTTGAAAGACCAAAATTAAAAATTTATGCATGTGTTGCAAAACGTATAAGAAAACTTCAGAGAGACCTGGAAGTAAGATAGAACTTCATATGGGAAGTGATACGTTTTGCAGATTAATTACCCGCAGTTCTTCAAGTCTGGAGCATTACTTGAAGAATATTTCGTGCTAAATTTTAAATTGTAAGGACCGGGTTGGGGGGGGGCGGGCTTAGATTTAGGCTTTGGCAAGTTTTTTGCCCTCTATTTTCTTAGAATTTTGAGCTTCCCCTTTGGAAGGGGAAACTGATAGTACTTCCAGCCTAGGTGGCTGGAAAAAGGAGCAGGAAACCTGATTCAAGTTAGGGAAAGTACTAGTGGGAGCTCTTACTGTGGCAGTACTCTTCTTCACTACACATTCTACCTGTATTATCAGTGGCTTGTGTTTCTAGTTTAAGTATGTATTTTAAGGATTGTGAAACATGATTGAATTGATTAAATTTGTTATCTTTGGATACACTTCTTCTCTACCTTCTCTTTGAATAGCTGCTGTAAATGAAATTTAGGCTACTACTGCCATTTTGGTTTTGCCTACTTAAACACTGAAATAGTGTTTGTGATTTTTAATATCTTGTCTAGTGTTTTTTGCAACATTTTTTGCAACATTTTGAGACTCAACACTGTTATTAAAGGTGCTTACTTTCCATAGTATGGATATTCAACACTTCCTGAACATCAGACCTTGTTTAGGTATTTCTGGTTTAGAACCTCAAATACAGAATCCAAAATCACAGGTTACCATTGCATACAGCTGTTTGCCTTAGGTAGCAGGGTAGAAAAAATTTCTTGAAAGACATGTTTACCAACTGCAGAAACCACTATACTGCATTCACTTTGTTAGTCTCTTTTGTTTGGAGGACCTTTTAATTACATAGATCCAGAGATGTAAACATTTTCACTAGTTACTGATGCTGGACTTAGCTTTTTAACAATTGTTCATAACTTCAAGCCTCCCACACCATTATTCTGTATTTCCTATTTGTCTTAAAATTAACTCAAGGTAAAGTCTTTATATAATCATCTGTAAACTTTTAATTCTCTGTTCCTGGTTTTCTATTTAGAGCATCACAGCAGGTATTCCATTTGTTGCAAAGTATTTCTTCATTTTCAGTACTTTCACCCTCCATTGATGGAACAGGATCAAGGAAAGAAAGTACTGTGATTCTTCGGTATGCAAGATGTATATTTATAGCACTTTGATGGGATGACTTGT